CACCAAGAGGAGAACGAGTAAACTAATTTTGGCCGTGGTAGTTCAGCATACGGCATCTTGGGGTATAAAGTGGGGCCCGATTGCTAACATGGGTGTTCGCCAGTGAAAGACATGATTGTACTAATTCCGTCATACTCACCAAAGCCAACGCATAGAAACGGTTGTCTGGGTCACTTTCAGCTACTTGCTCAGAACCTGAGAACCGTACCCAGCACCATTTGATCCGAGCTCATGGTCTTCCGGCTTTTTGATCACATACACAAATGAATAATCTGTTTAAACTCCAAACCTTATGTGACCTGTGCACCATTCTCCAAAACCGTTTAATAACGAAGGAAAAGTTTGTATTGATATTTTGCATTGTTGATATGTATGCTCGAACCAAAACAAACATATTCCATAGCACTTTTGTTGGATTTTAGTTAGACTATTGTCCATCCGTAATTTCTGGCGTACACTCACTGTTACAGTTGCACTGCCAATTTCCCGATGACACCTCCAATACCGGACTCCATTCTATTTGATACCCCGTCAAACTCACCAAGCCTTACTGATCGCATCCTATTCCCTCTCTTTCCTGGGCCTTCAATGCCATGTAAGGTTGTTATCCACTGCGTTTGTTTTGTGCTTTACATCTAAAGAGGTCTCCAACCAAACCGTGATCCTACATCGGTTTTGTTCTTCCTACATGGATCTACCTTCTCAACACAAAAGCCCACTGCTCACAGAATTTTTAGTTCTAGATCCGATGATCTCATTTATGGCGGGGAAGTCCGGGGAGGGAATTTTTCATTGCAAATAATGGCACGCCACCGCCACCTATGATCTCATTTATGGCGGGGAAGTCCGGTGAGAGAAGTATGTCATTGCAATAATGGCACGCCACCGCCATAACCAATTTGATAGCACACCCACAGCTGTTCCCTCCCCACACTTTACTTTGTCATCTCACCTACTCGTTCCTTTGTAAACTAGTTCTTGACCCGGCCCCGGCCCCCTATGAGGCGAGTTTATTCTAGTTAGGTGAACGTTCCTTTCACATTTAACTGTCTCGATGGACTTCCATTTGGCGCACTACACAATGTAGATCATTTTTTGTGCGGCTCGCGTTCTGTTCTATACATTATTTCTAACTCACTGTTCCATGAAACTTTTATACCTAAATCCGCTCCAACATCGAGTTTATACAGTTTCGCTCCACATCATGACTCTAACACCCAAGCAACCGCATTCTCGTATTGCAAATCCCTCCACGTCATTATTAGCACTTACGCTTTTTGTGACCTCAGCTATGGGCCTAAAAGTCGAAGGTCGCAAGTCCTTATCTGATGTTTGAGACTTTAGTTCAGACTGACTAGCCGTATCACTGCAACACTGATGCTTCACAGGATCCGTTGTTCTCGTTCCTCATTTTCCACAATTTGTAACTTCAGTTTCACCTTTTCCATTTTTGTTTTATTTTGGCTCGCCATCTCTAAATCGTAACGGTCTGGTCTTGCTTAAGTTGCTGATAACTAGAGGCACACCGCGAATTTCTTAGAAACCGTAGTATGAACGAAGGGAACTTTGACATAAAATTTTGGCATTTGATGGTATTTATTAGAACCCCTGAAATCTCTTCTTTTGCCGCGGATATTTTAGAAGTTTTTGAACGTACTCATAGTCTGCGTCGTTCTCAAGGTCAATATTTTATCGGTTACCGGTGCCTTAACATGTTGGTTCTATGAAAAGAGCGGGAAATCTTTATAGAAATGTTGGCTTCTCCACGTATCTTCTTCCGTATCGCATTTGAAGATGATCTCAACAATTGGGGAGCAACACTTACTCCATCTGTTTACGAGAACTCAAAATGGTGTACTCATTCGTGACCTGTATATGAAAAATTTTCTATCATGGAAGTGGGCGTCCAGCCAGAAGAGGCTGGGAACTGGTCACAGCTAGTAATTTTTCGTTATTTATGGTGGTCAGCACTCGCCGTATCGGGTGCATGGCAAGGTTTTATCTTAGCCGGTATACAAATGCTTGATAGTACCCTAGATGGAATCAGCGGATAAAGTTAGTGGGTTTATGAACAAAACAGACAGAAAAATTGACAGGATGGCCATTGCTTTGGACTCCTGGTACAAATTTGACGGAGATGGACGGCCTTGTTGGCGCATGTAACGCACTCGGTCAGGAAACAGTAGGAACATGATGAACTACGGGCAAACGATCAGGCTGTTTATGGCGTTCGCGGTATGGTCATCGCTAGGTCGTACCAATGACTGAACAGTTTTATCTATAAGCATCTTTGGTGAGTCGTTTGGGGGCTGTTAGGGTGGTCAGGAGCGGCCACAGAATCGTGACTAATTAAAAACCAGCGTGAATCAAGGATATTATTCGGTCCTTCAGTGGTGTATTGCTTTTTGAACGGCGCTACGGGGCAGCCGTGCCTTCACTGGAGAAAGTGTTAAGGTCTGTTGAATCGCTCTATGGCATAAGTCCGACTGCGGCTCGAAATAGCGGGCAACCGTGAGTGGCTACAGTTTCGAACCATTTCAGCAAGCCGATAGTGTCCGGCCTCAAATACGGTGATCCCTATTCAGGCGTAGGTAGCAGGTATACAGTTGAGGCAAATGTGCCTGAGTGTATGCGAATATAAGGTATGTGCACCAGCTAGACTGAAACTAATGGAGCATACAGAAACAGTAGATAAGAGAAAATCTTGAGATGCCTGATGGTGTTGCGTGCTTAAACAATGAGTTTTAGTTGTAGCCTGAAGAAAACCGTGAAGTCTTTGCAAAACTAGTTATATTGCGTGTATTCAGCGAATTTACGGTAGCAACTCATGACTTGCCACAAATGATGGGAGCAGCTTTGGTCTTTACTTTTTGGAGTTTTGTGGGAGTGGAGAGGCGGGCTCAGGACTCCAGAAGCGCACAGCATCGTTTTTGTCCTTGAATCGCATTATTATTGGGCAACGCAAGGAAGGTCTTATTTTTCGGAGTTGTCGAGCTGTGCAGAGGATGTCAAACACGTTACACGCCGTCGGGACAGAAGTTTCCCAGAAGCGCACAGCATCGTTTTTGTCCTTGAATCGCATTATTATTGGGCAACGCAAGGAAGGTCTTATTTTTCGGAGTTGTCGAGCTGTGCAGAGGATGTCAAACACGTTACACGCCGTCGGGACAGAAGTTTCTGTGATTTAGCGCGTGATGCGATCAGGGGAACTGTATACTGGGGCCTGGTGACTGCGCTCTGGAAGCTAATAGGTCTCATTGAAGGATCACATGTGGCGTCAGGAGTCAGAGGGTAAGCAACCAACTGTGTATTTTGGAAGGAAGCCAGTCCTCATTCCATCCTATGCACACATGCTCCGAGATTAGCCGGGTCTGGGTGAAACCAAGATTCTTCTAATAGGAGTGAGAGAGGAGGGTTGCTGATTGGGACGGGAAGGGGGATACTGTTCATTACTACCAAACAGTCTGAAGTGACTCGCAATGCTCTGTCGACCGACATCGAAGAGTGACGGGACCAAATGCTAGGCCTTTTGGCAGTGAAACGCTTCTTTCGACAAAGCGAGAGAGTGGGTGTTGGCGATTTGGTGTCCAACAAACGCATTGCGGAAGACGGAAGCGGTGGCATGATTGTAAATTATAAGATGCACGCGAATCCGAGACGCTGACCAGATACTTGAGATCACAGCCGAGTCCGTTTACGAACACGACTACGAGTGGTGGGATTCAGAATAAAGCCACTAGTTTGCGTGAGGGTGATAATATGGTGTAATATTAAATGATTGCCAGTTATGGCGAGGACGGTGGAAGTGTGTTTTTTCGGCCTACTGAGCAACGTAGGATTCACCCCACCAGCTGATTAGGCGCCATGTATCCCTGGTGGCATATTAGTTGATTATGTCAGCTAAATTATCATTTCTTTATTGTAGCAGCAACAACAGCCCTATTGGATAACCGAGAGTAACAGGCTGCTGTTTGATTCACTACGGGGTTCAATCCCCGGCGTCATGATTCACAGCTCACCATCTAAGTCTCTGCCTGAGGCTATCCGATAACCCTCTGAAGCCTACGGAACACCCGTTATTCTTTGCCGTTTGTAAAGTGGAGCTCTACCTCCAGTAAACAGTATCTGAATACTTTCAAGGCGATATGAGAGCTTATCAGAAAACGCGACCTGCGCGCACACGCAATTGATTAATTATTGACGACGGTTACACGTTTCATACATTTAAATGAGTGATGAGTGTACAAATGATGTACAGCAAGGCTTGGGTCCTTCAAACTTTTGTTCGAACATTTAGAAGTCAGCGTGCTCTTTTGTCGCTACGTTTACTCGGATTGACACTTATGGAGGAACGAGGACGCAGACTTACGCACCCGTCTATTCGAGTGTATTGTAAGCGAGTTGATTTTAACTGAATGTGTTGTAAACTGTGGCAAGTTCCCAAAATTGATTTAGCCAAAGAATTTTCAGCAAAGTCCTTCTATTTTAGGCGACCCACGTTTTCCGACTAGTTGGCAAATGACATTTTATTGAGTAGTGCTTCCAGTTCGAGTTATTTGTTAGAATTAAGAAGTCGCCTGCTTACACGAATCACTTGTTTTAAGGATCTGCAGAAAAGTGCAGTGGGCTCTGCCAAAACTTCAAAAACTTGTAGTCATTGAGATATCTCTCCCCCACCTCGGATACCGGTCGACGTTCAACTTACGTTGTGCTGACCTTTGTTGTAAACTAAACGCGTGGTTTACATGCATACTAAATATTCATTATTGCATTTGGCAGCTTTTAGAATACTTTTTTATGGAGAGGTGTAATATGCCGTCTCAATCACGCCAATTAACCTAACAAGTTCACTATTATGTCAAGAGTAGGTTTTAGTATCTAACTGTGTTGTGCTCAAGGTCAAGTCTGTTGTGCCGCACTCTATAAAGTGTTCCTTAGAATGGAAGGGCTCAGTTTTGGAATAAGGATGCGGTAAATGAACTACTAAAGCAAATATTAAAATGGGATCTGCATCAGGAAAAGTGTACGTTCAGTTCGACAATTTTTGCGAGTAAGAACTTGACTCACACCCTGTTTTCTTGGTCTAGAGACAAGACTTACGAGGATATCGCTTTAGAAAAGTTTGGATGCGATCTGTATGTCGTGGAATAGTATTGGATCTTAACTTCCAACAGGAAAGGGACGGTATTGTGTCCAGAGAACGAGACATCAATCACTTGTCTCAATGGTGGTGCGTGTGCACTCTATCTCAAGGACCTGGAGGATGTATGTGAACAAAAATGTCGGTGAGTCGATATAGCTTGTTTTATTCTGATGTGGAGATCATTTGAGTAGTACTCACTGTGCATCATTTTTTGAGCTGCGTGAAGGAGACCAATGCATTTAAGATGTTGGCCTTGTGTGATTGTCTCCTTTAGCAACATACGACATAACAAAAATAGCCTTACAGGACAAAAAAGTACAGGTTACTCATTAACGCTCTTATAACCGTCTAAAGCTTTGCCAACGCTTTACTTTCATTCAGCCATCTACGGTAATTCCTGTCACCTGTGTATGTTATGTAATTCAGACCGTCTTGGCCGTGCTTGGTCGTAGGCCCGGCGACAAAAATGAGTAAAAGATGATTCTGCGGGAGTTTTACGAATTTCCCACGACCCGCGCATTGTCATGGTTTCAAAATGCGGGCTTTGCGCTAGAACATCACGCTAGTCCGAAGCGGACAAAGTGTGCGTTTGAAAAGAAATACCAGAGGTAAACAGCTCACGGTAAATTGCAACTAAAAGTCAACCGTAAAACGCAACATACAAAAGATGACAGAAATGTGCCAAAAAGAAGATACAACGAGCCAATATGCACACAGAGTGCATGTATATGGTAGACAGCATGATATANGCTGTGCTGTGTTTATGTAAAATACAAAGTCTCCTGCGCTGCCGAGTTGCTAAAAGAAGATACGAAATCAGAAATTCAAACGCTTTTGTGCGTTAAGACAAAGATTAATAAAGACCACATTGTCATAAATATTCACATGTGCTACCTAGCTGTATCCACATTGTGGAGAGATTATATAATAGCACGCTCACTCCAAGACGAAGAGATTGTGGGACACGGATTGACTCGTATCAGAAGAAATGAGCTAAGGTAAGACACAGAATACCTCACTGTTTAGCGGAGGGCTACAGCTTGGCACTCCTTCCAAAAGACGAGTGAGCCTAGACAAAAGAAACTGGACGAGCAAAGACGAAATTCTTGTGAAGGACTACAGTGAAGGTTGGCCGTAAATGATGCAAACATATTCTTGGTGGATACTCGAAAGGAAAAAATCAGGAATGTGAACAGAGTCAGACTTCATGCCAAAACAAACGTCATAGTCTCTCACAACAATGGGTACTCCAGAGGGCTTAGTCAATTGACAACCTCAATACAGATGGATGGTGAGTTAGATATGGGGTCCACAAACACTGCCCATACTGAATACTGAGACGTCTACTTTATCTTTCTGGTGACAAAATGTATTCACATAAAACGGGAAGAACCGTCAAGAGAACCTTATAAATCTTAGTGAAGATGCAAAGCCGAAAACGGCATAAGGGCCAAAATGTAGTGAAACTGTTCTGCTAGATCAATAAGACCTCTGTCAAAGGTATATCATAAGCATCGGTTAGCTAACATTCGTGCATACAAGTAAGTTTCAAGGCTAATGAGATTAAAATGGTTTCGTCACGTTTTATGTGAAATAATAAATAAAGAAACCAGCCATGTGTCCGTGATCGTGGCTGTAATACCGGAATGGTTGATTAATAAAGGCCACAAACGGCAACATAGCACAAAAATAAACAAAAT